TAGGGTTATTAACAAAGTTCATGTACTCAGACCAGTAATATTTGGGGTCACAAGTTTTTGCCATGGATATTTTGTGGGTCAGAAGATAAAAAGTTTGGGAACCACTGTTCTATATAACAGTAGTGACAAAAGAAAAAAATAGTTATTTAGTGTTTGTGTGTGGTTTTTAGTCTGCAAGTCTATAAAAAGAAGACCTAACATTCCCTGACGTCATGCAGTTTTAAGCTAAGATCATCTTTATGTTGAGAACTGATGGAGCTATAGCTGTCTTGGTAAAACTCTGTGCATCTCGTGCTCAGAGTATGACCCACAGCTACTACCACACCAAATTTTAGCTTAACATTTGTGAGTCATTTTTGTGTTGACAAGTAGATGTGGCATCCATCTTGGACTGAATTGACTCCAAACTGGTTCTTGGTGCGGCGCCACCACAAGCGATGAATGAACAGGTTGTTCACATGGTGTAGTTTGTTTGAAACAGTGCAGTGTGAAAGTGAACCACATCAGCTGAAAATGTGAACAAATGTTGCGATTTTGGTCCCCAATCAAACCAAGTCTACTGGACTATCAGGGGTGAATATGACCTTACTCAGCCGTTTTGTTTTGTTTTTTTCTCCTGGTCCATATTTCATAAAAGGTGGAAAAAAAACCAATCAGTAACCATCAATATCGTAACTGGAGTGGTTGTACACTAAAAATATTTGCTCACCCATTCAAATGACTGTGCCCCAGTGCACAAGTTCCACTAAAGACATGGATGGCAGAGTCTGGTGTGGATGAACTTGACTGGCCTGCAGAGTCCTGACCTCAACCCAATAGAAAACCTTTGGGATGAATTAGAACGGAGACTGAGAGCCAGGCCTTCTTGTCCAACATCAGTGTGTGACCTCACAAATACGCTCATGGAAAAATAGTCAAAAATCCCCATAAACACAGTCCTAAACCTTGTGGACATCCTTCCCAAAAGAGTTTAAACTGTTCTAGCTGCAAAGTGTGGACCACCATCATATTAGGAATGGGATGTCATTTAAGCTTATATGTGAGTCAAGGCAGGTGAGCGAATATTTTTGGCGATATATTATACCTCTTATGGGTGAAACGGTGGTTAGAGCTATTTCCTCACAACAAGAAGGTCTGCCTCCCAGCCTGGGTTTAGAGAGCCATTCATGGCAGTAGTGGTAGTGTGATGTCAGTAGAGTTTAATTTAAAATCTACTTTTCCACACATCGTGAAGTATTTAGACATTTATTATTCTAAATTTTCTAAATGATATCTTTGGTTTTTGTTAACAGGTGTGTAACGGGGCAAGCTTAATGTGTCCGGTTTGAAAAAGAGTGATGGATGTGGAAGGTGATGATGGATATTAGAAAAATGTCTTGTAGCTTCTAATTGGATTCTCTGGCTGTTATAATGACATTTTATCACCTTTCCATTCATTATCACACAATATGACAAGCTTAGAAAGTTGATAAATGGGACATTAAGGGTTTTTCATTTTTAAACATTGATGTCACTTTTTTGCAGTTGTTTCTGAGAGATGGTAACGCTTCTAAAATATAAATCTTGTCTTTTCCAGTCGTTCATCTTCTCACAGATCTGTACCAGAGAAGTAAGTGTATTTGTTTATTAATATAAAGTATTATCTGTTTTGTAATCGCAGTCATCATGTTTTGTATATATGAAAATGTCTCCTAACTTCAGCTGATCTGAATTTATTTTTTATTTTTTTATTTTTTGCCAATGACAGATCAGGAATTGTTTGTCGAGTGAAGTACTGCAACAGTTTGCCTGACATCCCCTTTGATCCCAAATTCATCACATATCCGTTTGACCAGCACAGGTTATCTTACTCACTCATCTATTTTTCTTCTATATTCACTGTTAGGTAAATGAACAAAAGACGCATATTTGTGTTTTTTTTTTCTGTTCTGGTAGGTTTGTACAATACAAAGCCACGTCCCTGGAGAAGCAACACAAGCATGAACTCCTGACTGAACCAGATCTTGGAGTGACCATTGACCTCATCAACCCAGACACTTACCGCATCGATCCCAATGGTAAGTTTCTGAAGGCTCACCCCATGTGCTATTTTTTAATTTCACTTTTGATACAGAAATAGAAACTTTGAGCTGCAAATACTTGTGTGAACTCATCTGATATATTACTATTTTTAGTCTTTTTGGACCCTGCTGATGAGAAACTGTTGGAAGAGGACATCCAGGCTCCATCCAGCTCTAAAAGGTAAGGCCAGCAAATATGTGAATTTATGACTTATACTTTTTTTTTTTCATACTTATGTTTTGTAACTCGGTTTCTTCTTGATTTTTAAGATCCCAGCAACATGCCAAAGTAGTGCCATGGATGAGAAAAACAGAATACATTTCCACAGAGTTCAACAGATACGGTGTATCTAATGAAAAAGTGGAAGTCAAGTGAGTTTGATTTTCTAACACAAGAAAACTATTGCACCATGTATTTATTGTGTGTGTGTTTTATGTAAGCCTGGTATTGTTTCTATTTAGGATCGGAGTTTCAGTCAAACAGCAGTTTACAGAGGAAGAGATCTACAAGGATAGAGACAGTCAGATTTCTGCTATCGAGAAGACGTTTGAAGATGCACAGAAAACTGTAAGTCAGCATATTTTCTGACTGCACTTAATGTAATTTAACATTCATTGCATTTTAAAATGCTCAGAGAGTTACATAGAAACAGTTTGGTTCTGTTCACGGGAACTTTCCAGGAATTTCAGGAATTTTTGCATATGCTTTGCATGCACTTGTTTTAATATAAACCGGATGCACACACAAACACACAGCTAGTGTTGTGTGTGTTTGAAGTACTGTTTGAAATAGTCTGCAAATCAGTTTGTTGGCACAGAATAAAAATTACAACGTCAACTATGGTAGTTTTTGTAATGCCTTGTAATCATAAGGTTGTTGTTTTCATTGACAGATCACACAGCACTACAGCAAACCCAGAGTTACTCCTGTGGAGATCTTGCCCGTGTTCCCTGACTTTAAGGTGGGCTTACAGCTTAAAAGATGGATTTTGCAAACTTTTTTCCTAGTCCTTTTAGATAACTAGAAAATAAATACCTAAAATATATGCACTTTAACAAGTGGAGGGTAAAAAAAAAACCAGCAAGTTCATATTAAAATACAGAAACTTATTACAAAAAATGACAAATTTTAATCTATTGATGTGACTTGTCATTTAAAGGTGCTACTTTGCAGATTTGAATAATGATTTTTCATGTATTTTTTTGTTCCTCAGATGTGGATCAACCCGTGCGCTCAGGTCATCTTTGACTCTGATCCTGCACCTAAAGACTTTTCTGGTCCAGCAGGAGTGGAAATGATGTCTCAGGCCATGATCAGGTCTCCACTCAAGACGAGCTCTCCGTTTAAAAGTCTAACTAGTTTTTTTCCACAGTCATTCATTTGTTTGTTCCCCACAGAGGAATGATGGATGAGGAAGGAAATCAGTTTGTGGCCTACTTCCTGCCCAATGAAGAAACCCTCCGTAAGCGAAAGAGAGACTCCGAGGAGGGCGTGGATTATATGGCAGAGGATCTGTGAGTGAAAGAGTCCTAGAAAGATAAACGCTTGATGTTATTTTTGTACACTTTGAAAAAACAGCACACAAGTCTGTACTAAACATAATAAGAACTCTGTCTTCCTTTTTTGTGTTTCAGCTATGATTATAAGATTGCAAGAGAGTACAACTGGAATGTCAAGAACAAAGCAAGCAAGGGTTATGAGGAGAACTACTTCTTTATCTTCAGAGATGGAGACGGTGTTTATTACAATGAGCTGGAAACAAGGTTAGTGCTTGATTTTATATTAAAGTTAGAAACAATTGTTTTTGATTAACAAAGTGATGAAAATAAACGAGAGAGTTTGTAACAGTCTTCCACATTTAAAAGAGAAAAGGCGTTCCTTTACATTAATTTTTTTCTGACCTGCAGGGTGCGTTTGAGCAAGAGGAGAGCCAAGGCAGGAGCACAGTCCACTACAAACGCTGTGCTGGTGTGTAAACACAGAGATATGAACGAGAAGGAACTGGAAGCCCAGGTGAGTGCGAGGATTTGGTTTTTATAAGTTTGTGGACAGAAGGGTTAAGTGAACTCAACAGTTTTTGGTGAAATTATAACTGTTAAGTTATAATTACACAATATTTATTTCCTTGTAAAACAAAAGATACAGTTAATAAGAAAAGCCTAAAGATTTTAAAAATATATATTTTGTAATAAATGGGAAAAAAATGGAGGAGTGTTGTATTGTGGTTGTACATTTTTACAGTTTTCATTAAAAAAGGCAGTTTTCAGTCATTAAATACCTGCTGGGAATTTTACTATGTATGCTATACTAAATAAAGAAACATAAACTAATATGTTAAAAAGTCATAGAAGCATGTTTGGACTTTTGAACTGATCACTGATGATTCTGTCTTCTGGGATGTTCAGGAGGCACGTAAGGCTCAGCTGGAGAACCATGAGCCAGAAGATGAGGAGGAAGACATGGATATGGAGAAAGACATGCAGGACTCTGGTTAGTCTTCTTTTTTCATTACAGTTTGTGACATTTTTATTGAAGTATTTGTGGGGTTTTGTTCCTATTTTCAGTTTTACATTTAGAAGATGTGAAAAAGAAAATGTGACAAAACTTACAATAATGTTGGGATAAGTTTTGTGGGTAAAATACAGAAACCAGTTTTTACAGATGGATGTCAATGATTTAATGAATCTTAGCTGATTCAGTTCATGATGAACTGACGTCGCCCCATTGATCAAAGTAATTCCTAAATAAAAACAGTCTCCTTTTACCATCAATGTTCAACAGTTTTTCCCCTGCTTAAGGTTTGTTTTCAGTTAGAATAGCTCTTTTTGTGCTAAGTTAAAGCCATAAGCATTATAATCCATACTTGTCACTTTTTGAAAGGTTTGTTTTAATTTACAAGAACTGAAATGTTAACAACTAGCGTATTCATTGATTCAAAATGCTGTGGTTGTTCTTCTCCAGGTGACGAGAAAGAAAAGGGCAGCGGCAGCGAAGCGGAGAACTCGGGCAGTGAATCTGAGAGGGAAGACGAAGACCAGGAACGAAGCGGAGAGGAGGACGAGGAAGACGAGGACCGAGGGAAAAGGCGCAGGAAGGCGAGTGGCAGCGGCAGCGACAGCGGCGAGGAGAGGACCAGAGAAATGCGAGACGAGGAGGAGATCTTCGGCAGCGACGACGACAGCGACGACAACGAGCCCAAGAACTCGGCCAGGAGCAGCGGGGAGGAGGGCAGCGGCAGCGAAGACGAAGAGGAGAACAGGAGGGGCAGCCGGAGTCGCAGCGCCTCCCCGGCACACAGCGACCACAGCAGCGACCACTCAGAGGCCCAAGCTCAGAGCGCAAGTGAGCGAGGGTCCGACTCCAGTGATGCCAGTGACAGTGAATAATATCTGCAGCCTGTTCAGCACAATGAGGACCACCTGTCGTCATCTGTCTGTCCGGCTGTTGGACACTGTCCTGAAACACAGTGGGTTAGTCTGGGGCTGCAGCTTCTGGACTTCAAAAATAATCATTTGGACTTTGAGACATCTCTTTTCAATCCAGCTTTTTTTGTAGACTTAAATCACACTAGTAGCTGTTTTTACACCATTCCTTTGTGTTGTCTCAGTTCAATATCATGTAAAAATATCTTTGTTCTTTTTGTTTTTGAAACTGATAAATAAATTACAGGTCACATTTTAGACAAATATTGTTTTTTATGTGCTTTTTTTCGTTCTAATTCATACATTCACTGTAGGAAACATCAGCTGCAAAATTTCACAAAAAATGAATGAAGTGAATACTTAAAGCATGGAAATCAAATAACTGTCACAAAGGCTGATAGAGCAAATGATGTTGGAGATGGATTCAGCGGAAAAATGCCAGCTGGTTTTTCAGCCATTCTTCTGTCAGGTCATCAACATTTCTGGTTTCAAAGACCTTTTGAAAAAGAAAAAAGTAGACAATGACACAAATTAAAATACAAATAAGACGATGCCTTAAAATACAGAAAATTTCATCAATATTTGGGTGGGGGGAGTGGTGGCACGAGTTAGGTTTGAATCCCAGGAATGCAAAAAAACGTGGGTGGGAAAGGTGAAGCTATTGCCTCCACCCTTATTTGCCTCATTGCGAGCCCTTGAGCAAGGCCTTAACCCTCCAGCTGACCCATGATGGCAGCCCTCTGTTCCACGTGTGCTTACATGTGCAATGGGGAAATTTTCAGTTTATTTTGCCATTGGGGATATACATATGTGTGCTGATTGAATATCACCATCTCATACGTTCACAAACTGTGCAGTATGAATAGCTAAACTTGAATATTAAAGCTTCAGAGTTTGAGAAATTCACTATTTTGAAATTTTCAATTAGTATTTCACCATTTTTTAATCATTTTACTTTAATAAAAAAGTTAACTAAAACTAAACTAAATTAAAAAGCATTTTTAATATCTACCTTTGTGAGCTCTGCAGCTTGGACCAGTCGATTCTTGCTGCCTGCGTACATCATCTGCTGCTCGGGTTTACATCCTGGACAAAAGAGATGGACATGTTCTTAGGTTGTGGCTATTTAATTGAACACACATGAAAAAGTAAAGTCTTGGAAGTCCACCACTAAAAAAAACTGATTACGCTCAGAACTTCTTCATTTCAAGCTGAAACAAAGAGTTTTGTGGAACAACAATGAAGAACTGCAGGGTTGACCAGCAGACAGGTATGTGATGTGAAACTCCTAGAAGACAGCAAGAAACATTTAAAAGCTCTTTTTTTTTTTGATGCTACAGATTCAGAAAACATGTTGAGTGCCTATAATTGTGTTCTTGCTGCAGTTTGATTGTGACACTTCGTTGTGGGTTTTTTTTTTTTTCGGCCACTGTTCAACAACCAGACAGTTTGATTAAACTTTATGATAAGAATAAACTGGTTTTCAACTTTAGCTTTATTGAAAAAAACTTTACTCAAATTCTAGGAATGCTGAGCTGAGCGTTCTTTGGTTCCAGAGACTAACTTCGTACCCATTGGACTGGAAAAGATGAAGCAGAGGGGGTAGGACACCCTCCCGTCGTCATGGATGTATTTGTAGCTGTAGACAATAAATGTAGACTTCTGTCAAGGAAGTTCAACCTTTAACAAGAGTCAAAACACATTTCTGCAACAAAACAATTGAAAACTCTGAATTTCATTTTAGATGGGTGTATTCTCTAACAGTGTAAACCCCTGATGAGACTCTTTTTGTGGGGTTTGCATCTGGGCTGTAGGCTTTACAGACACCAGTAGTCTAAATATTGTTTCTGTACATGAACTGAAACATGTCCTTTTATTTGCCATGACTACTTTGTCCTTCTTAGCCTGGCAGACCCCTGCACCTTTCGCCCTAAAGAAAACAGGTAAAGGTTCAATTTTGTCATTATTTAAATTTCAGGATATCTGGGCTGGCGCTCTGGAAGCTCATTTTTCAGGTCATCCATTGAAATATCCTGGAAATCAGAACAAATTAATTCATTACCATCAAAGCAAAATAAAAAAAAATCTCAAACTCCACAATAAGAGATGAACTTGCCTCATATTCCTCCTCAAGGATAACAAGCTGTTTCTCCATGTCTATTTTCACTGGAAAATAAAAACCATCATAAAGACTGCGATGTAATTTGTATTGGATTTTAAGCTGAACAATAATAATTATGATTATCAGTATGCAGTACTTACTGAGTATGGCGGCATTGTTGGTCTCTTTCCGAAATCTAAATTTTTTCAGTTTCTCTTTTAGACTTTCATCCACTTCACACACAACCAGGGAGCTTGACTGTCAACATATCGAATTCAACATTAGTCAGCGGTCGTTTCTAAAAGCATCTCTGTTTTTAAAAGAAGTGAACTGGCCTTCAGAGTTTATAAATTATTTTTTTTAGAAGACCTGCTTGCACATAAAAACAAAAAACATAAAAACCAAGTGAACCATCCACAATAAAAGCAGGAAATGTTTTGCACCAGTGTGCAAGAATCTAGTTTCCTGTTTGAAACTGCAAAGAGGTTGGCTGTCTTGTGCCCAAATCTTTAGGTAAAACATATATTATTAGAAACAGAAATGTATAGAAGTGAAACGATGAAGCACCACAGATCTCAGCAGCAAAGAGAAAGCTTTCATATCGTAGCATCAGTGTCACTCACCATTCTGACAGGATTCTTCTCAGTGACTTCAGGCTGACGCCGCCTTGTTGAAACAGTTGATGGCAAACAGCTACTGTCAGGAGAACCTCCTTCAAATGTTACAGGGGGAGGGCTGACACATTGACGGAGCGTGTCACAAGGCTGTTTCCCCTTTTCTCTGACACAAAATGACACTGTTGTGCAAGCTCAGCTCTGGATGCTGTTCAAAAACTGTTAGTGTTATGTTTCTCGAACGCAGGAAGATAAAAAACAGGCATAAAAAGACTGAAACAGGTGTAAATTTATTAGACTTTTCTTTCACTGTCAGATTGGTTTATTTTTTTTAACAATTTAAATAGATTACTGTAACAATATAGAAACTTCCAACTGTGCAAAAAGGTCTTTAAAGCTTGTAAAACCTAGACAACAAAGGTGAGTTGAAATCTTTGACGTGAAAAAACACCCATGGCATCAAAAACAAAAGCCATCAGTCCTGCTCCTCCTGTGCTAATTCTGGTTGCAGGTTCACATTTTTGGTCTGTTGCCCTACATTCTGCAAACTGATAACATCACATCTCCAATACTATAGCACTGCAGATAAATAGGTGACAGAAGCGTTTGCTGGAACGTGACAAACCTCTTGTACTTTGAACAGCCTGGCCTTCTGCTTCTTAATTTTCTCAAACTTGGTTTTCAGTCTGACAGATATTTGTGACCATGCGGCTCACCACTGACAAGTGATGACACACAAATTCTGCAGTTAGGTGAAATAATAACAATAATAAAACATGTTCCTCTGATAATATTTAGGTTCAAGTGGGAGAATTAACAGGCTTTCCAACATTATAAGATTTATTGCCAAGACGTTACTACAAAAATTTAATCTACCAAACATAAATTCACTCACTTTTTGTGCTACGTTTGTATTTTTAAAGCCTGTCTAACTTCCTTTTAAAGCACATTAAATCATTACAAACAGTCTTTCACCCTTGGATACAGATACAAGCAAATGAGGAATGCTTTAATTAAATATTGTAAAACTTCTCAGCATTCCCAAAGTGTTTAGAACAACTGTCTTCACTGTTTAACCTTCAATACAACAACCACTAAGCAAACTGGTTTAACATATAATCAAACTGAACTAAATTCCTCCTGACAACTAAGAACATTCCAGAAAGCCAGAAGAGATTTAAAAATATCCACAATCAATAATTCAAAATTATCAAGAATGTACCTGATCCCAGTCGTGTGCATTGGAATTTCTGTACCACTCCCAGTGTTGTATAAAGTACCACAAAGTGATACTTGAGAAAAAGTACAAGTACTTAATTACTCAAGTAAAGTATGGATACCCAAAAATTCTAAAGTAACAACGTATTTGTACTTAGTTACTTTACAACACAGCTTTCTTCTTATAGAATGTACAATGAAAGAGATATCTGATAGGAAACACTTACATTTTGGGTATCTAAATTTTTGTTGTTACTAGTTTAATCTGTTCTATGTGGAAATCAATCCCTATCTGGTTTCTGATAGTTATCCAAATTGTGTTTTGAAATTTGTAATTGCATTGTTGTTGCTGGTTAGGTTAGGTTTTCATTCAAAATTTTATCCAAACTTTAATATCTAAAATGCATTTTTAACTTGTCAGCTTGTGAATAACACATATTCTTAATGACATTTTTAGTCAATTTTATTAATAATCAATCTCCATTAGAAATAATTGGAAATGCTTTGGTTTTTACGTTTATAAAATTAAACTTATGACTGGTTAAAATGAGATTATAGATATCTGAAGTGTGGATTTCTCACAGCAAGAATCTGTTTCAAAAAAGGCATTCTGAATGTCCAAAATGTTCATTGATTCGATGGAAGTTTTGGCCCCGTTTGAAGTAGTCTAACTATTATATGATAAATTGGCTTGCTATACCGTACGAATGGAACTTTTTAGCCATAACGATGGGTGGGAGAAAACTTTACGTACGTGCTGACGTACGTTCTTGTGCCCACGTCTTACGTCAACTCAAAATCGAAGTGGATTTCTCCAGGCGTACACTCCTTATTTTTTGTATTCCAATTAGCATTTTTGTATATACATTCTTTAAAGTTTTATGTTTGAAACAGCGAAGGCATATTACTGCAATGGGATATTCTTGAGGATTCCTACGTGTGGAATGGAAATCTACGCTTCTTCCAGCTAAGCCAACGTAACTGCAGCTGTTAGCTCCTTGCTATCACTACTCATACGGTCGAGCTAGCTATGCATTAGCATTTTAGCCTAGCTCCCTGGCCAGAAACAAATGAGAACAGGTAAACAAATATTTCGATTTCCTATAATACATCGTCATTCGGGAATCTCACGTTTGTGTTTCAGCCGTAACTTGTTCTCGATTTAAAATTAATTTTGACTGCTCAGTTTTTTTCGCTAAGACCGAACTACCAAACGGAGGAGTAGCAACCGCGTCAACGCAAAACAATACAAATCCTGACTCTCTCTTCAGACTAGGCCGACCGAGGGCTAACTCCAGTTTACCGACACCTGCTTAGCTACCTACTGAAAAATATCGCCTAGTTCAACAAGGACTTTTTGTCCAAAGCTTATAATTTACACTGCTCTGTCTGTTTTCAGTCAGTGTTACAGCTTTTGCTATAAAAAAAAGATACTGGTACCCGTGATGGGAGTTTCCAGCTTTGACATCTGTTTAACATTATTTTAAAATAGGGATTCTTTAAACTAAATGCTTGTCTTCATGAGTAGCTGATAACTTTTTTATGTCATAAACATAGATCTTGGATGTTACTATTTTAATGGTACCTTAGTTTTGTTTGTATTTTGTCATCATAATTATTATTGGATTTTTATGTATACAGGTTAAATAAGATTAGTTTTATTTATACGTGTATATTTCTCTTTTTGATCTGTTGAATTCCCCAAATGTTGTGTGTTGTTACTGTTCAGTAGTTCTTTTAAACCAGGTTAATGCTGCATTCCTTCTCAAAGCTAACATTTATATTGTAGGTGGTTACCCTGTGAAAATTGAGCTATTATCTCTAACTAATCTATTAATTATATGCACTCACCACATAGCACCGTCACCCTCATTTTTGTTTTAGTTTTTTTAATCAGAGGTTGGTAAATTGGAAGTGCAGATTTTACAGCACTTTCAAAATTAGTGTCATGAATACAATGCGTTTATTCAGTTTTATTAGCTGAGATTTAAAGACTATATCATGCATTTGGTGAATCATTTTGTTTTTCGTTGTCTTGTTGATTTATTAGGGCAAAGATGATGTGATCACGATTATGCCAGAATAAAAGAGCCTTTCCTGTTTTGGGTCATTACCTACTGCAGTTGACACATACTTGGAGCCTCAAGACATCGTCTCAAAAATCCATAAAGCATTCCCGCTCGCAGTCCCAGCAGCACCTGAACCATGTGAGGTCCCCTCGGTCAAGTCTGAGGGGATCCTAGGACTGTTGAATCGAAAACCCCGCTGTGCGGGGGGAGACTTTTCCTGTCTCTGTCTGAAGGAGCAGCCTAACCCTCCCTATCCACAAATTCCTGTTCTCCTTACCAAGGAGACACGCCATGATGTTCCGAGACCAGGTAGGTATCCTCACAGATTGGTTCAAAGGCTGGAATGAATGTGAACAGACGGTGGCGCTCTTGTCCCTCCTGAAGAGGGTGTCCCGCACCCAGGCCCGCTTTCTCCACATATACCTTGAACACTGGCTGGCAGACTGCACAGAGATCCACATCCTTGAAGCTGAGGCCAACAATGCAGGTAAAGGTTTTTTTTTTTTTTGTTACAAGCATAAAACATCATTTTTAGGAAAAAAATGCAAAACTAGTTTTAATGAGATATTAATCTCTATATATGTGGTGTTTTTCTTCTACCATTAGCAACTGTCAGCCAGTGGCATCAGGAGCCTAAAGAGAAAGTGGTGTCCTTGCTGTTATCCCATTTGCCTCTACTGCAGCCACGCAATTGTGAGGCCAAATGTGAGTACATGAAGCTGCTGCAGAAGGTGTTGAGTCACACAATTGAGAGCAGCCTCTTTGTGGAAGAAAGCAGACAGTTGCTCTCCTATGCACTCATCCACCCTGCCACCACTCTGGACGACCGGACCACACTGGCCATGTGGCTAAACCACTTGGAGGAGCACCTTTCTAGTGGCTATGCATCTCGGGCTCCATCTAGCCCGTACCATCCACGCCAAGGATCTGATGAATGGCCGAGTTCTGCTGAGGCTCTTGATCCTGGCAGCGTTTGGCATGATAAGTCTCCTTCATCTAGCACGTCTCCTGCAGGCCAGAATGGACACATGGCTTTCCCAGGCAGGATGCCCTCACCTATTAACAGCAATAATACAGGTAAGGTTTACAATTAGCTTTTTACTTTTTAACTAAACAGAAAACCTGGAGGAGTATTATTCATTCGTGAACTGTTCTGTTGCCAGGTTTGGTTGGGCAGATGCAGCCTAGTCCACTGAAGAAGTCCATGTCCAATATCCCTTCCAGTCCTCAGACTTGTGGTTCTGAGTGGATAAACCAGGATGACACGGGTGGGCGACAGAACTTCATCCCAACAGACCACGCACCTCTTTCACCCCAAAGCAGTATAGCCTCTTCAGGCAGCGAGCAGACGGAAGAGCAGGGCTGCTCTCGCAACACTTTCCTAGAGGATGGGAGTGGCATGAAAGGTCAGAGTTCATCACTTACAACAGCCAGTGTACCACCACCATTTGGCTCTGGTAGAAACTTTAGATTTTTTATTGTTTTTATTTGGTTTCACTTCATCTTAGTTATTATTTTAGTGGCGTTTTTGCAACAACACAGACAAGCAAGAAGAAACCTTTCTTTACTTCATTAACTAGTGAGTTGAGTTTACACAATAAAGCCAGTGATACAACTTTAGTCAGTACAACATCAGTCACGCAACGTGTCCATTTTCAACAATTCAACTGTTGTGTTACAGTTATCCAATAAAGTAAAGCAGGGCTATTCAACTGGCGGCGAGTGACCAAAGTTCGGCCCGCCAATTGGTTCTTTCATCTCTTAAGCCCAAACCCCTGGTTTTCTACTTTTATCACTCTAAGTTCTTTTAGTTAGACACAAACATGTTTGGTATCTACAGAAACGTCAGAATCTTGGCTAGAAGCTGGTAGAAACCATTTCTATGAACACTCAAGACAGTTAAAACTACAAGCAGTTGAAGATAAAATTATGAAAGTGAAGTTTAAAAATTTGGCAAGTCAGAGATGTCAAAATACTAGTGTCAAATAGGAGGCATAATGTGTTCTTTTTGTTTTTGATAATGTTTAATTATCACTACTTTTATAGGGTTCTGTATGTTGTATTTATGATTAAATTCAGCAAAATAAACTAATTCAAAGGTAACAGATCTTTGTAAAACTTGGTTTATTTACATAATAACTTTAATTGCTGGATGTTCAGCCCCTCAGCTGTTGACCGGCAGTAACTGTGGCCCCCGGAGCAATTTAGTTGAATAACCCTGAAGTAAAGCATAGTTTTATTTCTAAGAAAAAAAAAATTTGCAACTCATCTGCCTCCCAAAACAAGTCAAAAAACATTAGCCTCAATTTATTTTCTTAAAAACAAAACTGACATAACATAAAAGATTAAACAAGTTTTGTTTCAAAATATTATGAAAAAACTACAGATTTATTGAGTTATGTGCTGTTAAGACATGTAATCTTTTGACAGTGTGCCTCTTTTGAACTTTTTCCATCTCTTTTGCTCTAGATGTTCCTGCCTGGTTGAAGAGTCTTCGGCTTCATAAATATGCATCACTATTCTCGCAGATGAGCTATGAGGAGATGATGATTCTCACAGAACAGCATCTAGAATCTCAGGTGGGAAAGCCTCTTTACCTTCACTGGACTCAGACTTTGATTTCTCTTTAGTTCCTCTCCTGCAGGCCTCAGATTTGATGATACATCAACTCTCAATGAGGCATGAAATTAAACAATGCACCCTACAGTTATATTGAGCTTGTCACACATAATACAAATTGTCTATTCCCCCCCCTTTCCTTTTCTTCTTGTCTTTAATAAAACAGATGGTGATTAGGCTGGTTATTTAGTGACTAGATAAATTGCTTAGTGTCCCCTCCAGGAGTGACTTTTCAAACCATCCTGTTATTTCTCATCCCTCCTTTTTAGAATGTCACTAAAGGAGCACGACACAAGATTGCCTTGAGTATCCAGAAACTGCGAGAGAGGCAAAGTGTTCTCAAGTCTTTAGAAAAGGTAATTCAAATGTTGTTATGCTGAAAGAGCGGCGACAATTTCTAAAGTTTCTTTCACTTTTCTGTATCAAAGACACTCGAGTATTTTTTCCTGTGACGATCTTGTGATACTTGATTTAGCTCTGTTGGGAAATTCCCATTCTGCTTATTAAAAAACAAACAGTGAAGTTGTTAAATGTCCAGACTCTTCATCTTAGATGCTTCATTGGAAAATGTTTGCTTCACTAAATAGAAAGTACAGATTTGCAGCTGAGAAATCTTCCAACCCACTCACAGTGAAACAGTTTAAATCCTAAGTGTGCAGCTCTGATCGAATTACACGGCACGTGATGCTAATATTGCCTTCCGTTTTTAGGATATCTTGGACGGCGGAAACCTGCGCAATGCCCTCCAGGAGCTTCAGCAGATCGTTATCACGCCCATTAAGCCCTACAGCCCAGCCAGCGCAGCACAGCTTGCCTCGGACGTCTCGACGTCCTCGTCAGACGTCACAAAAACAGCAGCAGATACGGAGGCGGCGTCAGAAGACTTCCAAAGCAACAACCAACCCCCCTGTGATGGAGACTCCTCAGTCACACCGGTCTCAGATGGTGACATTGCCGGACAGTTTACTCGTGTTATGGGTAAAGGTAAGAACGTTACCAAGATTGTATTAGATTGTTTTCTGATTTGTTGTTCCAAGTGAAAATGACCTTCTCTTTTTTTTTTTTTCAAGCTTTTATCCTTAATATAAATATACTGGGTTGTTATTTGATTTATGAACCCTTGTTTTTCTGTTTCAGTGTGCACCCAGCTGCTGGTATCAAGGCCAGATGAGGAAAATATTAGCTGTTACCTTCAGCTTATAGAGAAGTGTCTGACACATGAAGTGAGTTTTAAGTTACTGTTGCTTACTAACTTACTTAAAGGGGCAATATTATGTATTTCTCAGGCATACAATTAAATTCTGTACCATAATAAAGTATGTATGTCACCTTTAGCTGTTATTAAAATGCTGTTTTTATGTTTAAATAGAAAATAAACTTATCTTCTCATCACTTCCTCTTCTAAACACCTTGAAATTGGCCTCTGTCTCTTTAAGAACCACCTTCCGCTTCTATCTTGCCCATTTCGGTGTGTGTGTGTGTGTGTGTGTGTGTGTGTGTGTGTGTGT